ACTTTTGACGTTGACAGTCGATCTGGTGAGTTCATCCGATGATAACTTGGTAATGCATGATGAATAGAATAGAACTACTCTTTGATGTTTGATTATTTAATTATTTTTTCATCATGTCTTGAAAAGGTGATAGCACTGATCATTCTCGCGGTTATGGCTTCCTACGATGACTCAACTTCTAGTAGGGTCGGCTTCGTGGTCAAGGAGGAGCACGCGAGTGAGGACTCTTTGGATGAGCTCCTCAAGGTGCTCCCCGAGCTCTTCCTAGTAAAGCTTTTTCACAATTTTTCCAAGAAGAATCCACCTACTAAGGAGAACGAGGACCCGCCACATAAGGAGATAAAGGGCCCGCCACGTAAGGAGAGCATTCACCCACCACATAAGGAGAGTGTTTGTACGCCACTCAACATCATTCCAAACGATGCTCGCTCCTTCTATGTGGGGGATATACCCACCTCCTCCGACTCCACAATCACTGGCTTCACCGACTATGCCTCAGAGTAGAGCTCCATCCTCTTAGTAGTGTGTTTGATAGCTTGACGATGATGTAGGGATGGTGTACTTATATATATATATATATATATATAGGACAAATTTTATCTACAAGCGGTGGTAGTTACCACCTAAGTGTTTGCCTGCCACGTGTCTCATTATTTCTCCATACTAGACGGGTTAGTGGATGTGGGAAACCCAATAGCAGGGTAACTAACTTGCGTCTGATTACCATTCGGTAAAAGAATTAGCAAGAAATTGCGTGCGTTAGTTTCAACAACCTTCTTTTTTATTGCGAGGTCTTCCGAACTAACCAACTGTGTTGAATGGATAAGTGGCGTCATGTACCCACGTAAAAAGCAAAAGAGACGTGTCAGTACGGCGTGTTGCCGCAAATACCTTGTGCAAGAAATAACGTAAAGTATATTGTATATAATTTGGAAATAGCCGTATACGGTACTTGTTTTTTTGTGTGGGGGGATGATGCTTGGTATTACTAGAAAATAGTACTGTATATTATTGATTGAGCATATAGTATATATGAACTTTTGTTTCTAGGCATACGGAGTATGTAGAATAATCTGAGATGGAATATGGTATGGAGTTTATACAATGTATAATAAAAAAGTAGTATAGAGTATGTCAGTATGTAGTATGGCTTCCGGAGTATATATACTTTGAATTGTCATATTTAGTAGGGAGTATATATATATATACTTTTAATTGAAACTTAGTATGAAGTAGCGGATAGTATATGTTCAGCGTCGACGAGGATACATATTACATGATGGTATCTTCAAAGCCATAGTGTACATGTCTATACTCTAAGGAGTATGTATGTGTTCCATATGAGGAAGTATGGAGTATGTAGTATATTTCAAAACGAAAAATTAAGTATGGAGTATGTTGCATTCAGAAAAAAAGGTCAAGTATAAAGTATGGAGTATATGGTATTAAGAAACTAAATTTGAAGTGTATCTATAATAGCACAGAAGAGTATGTATCCGCCCGGCCAGAATGAAGTGGAGTACATGTTAATATCTGTCTATTTATATACTGCTAATAATGCATCTGGTATTGATTTCACGGTCCAGTAGGTGCATCATGCATGCATACGTGATGTCAGCCATGCATCACATGAAGGGGCAATGTTGACCACCGAAAACTACTCATCTCATCATACAAAAAACACTGTTCATCTCACTCGAATACAAGTCTTGCCATCGCTGCTCGGTCATATACGATCTTGATCGGCTCAACATGAAAAGGAGGATTTGCATGGAAAGGCTTCAGTGCGTGATGTTCTTCTAGGCTCTTCAATGGATCACGGAGACGGCCGCGTGGCCGGTGCGACTTCGACGCCGCCATGCTAGAGCAGTCAGCCAGTCGCTTGTCGGTCGTACTCCCGTGTTTGCCACTGCTGCAGCCAGGCCGTGCAGGTTGTTTCTACTACCACAATAGAGCAGCCACCCATCGGCCATGTGCGCTCGTGTGTCCTCGCTGTCACCGTACAAAAATCTCCTGGGTTGGTCACTGAAGGGAATTGAGGTCATGTAGGATGTTGCAGCTTGCAGATGTTGTCGGTGGTAGCAGCAGTAGCAGGTGGTACACGACGGCGGCGGCGGCGGCGGCAATAGCCTACCGAGTTGTCTTCCCAACACGGAAGCTTGCATGAAAAAGAAGTCAATTAGCATCAGGATGCATGCACAGATGTAAATGAAAGAATCATGCATGTGTGTAAATCAATTGCTGAGCCATACCTTTCTGCTAGCAGGTGCACTTTTTGATTTGGTAGTTGAGATAGACGAGCTTGTTTTGGTTCTGTATGCCAGATCCAATCCTTTTCTCGTGGGATGGTACCCGGCGTCCTGATCCAAATAAGTAGCGAGGAAAGAAACGCTCAGCGGAAGCAAGAAAATCGGGAGCTAGCTTAACTAACCCACGAAGCGGGCACGAGAAATCCACTCATTCCCTTTCCATGACCCGTTAAGAATTGCACGGATCACAATGCAATCGGATGGCACGGAGGACGGAGGTAACTACCACCGATGGTAGTAACTATTTTCC